ATACACCACGGCCATCCCTCCCTTTAACATGTTAAAAGAACGCAAAATATCGCTAGAACACGTGTTAACATCAGCTGTCCTTTTTTTTAAAATCTACTTTGAGACATTTTTTATATTAGTAATTAATTCAGATATCTTTTTGCATGTGTGGAATGGCATGGGCATTGACAGAATGTTAACTGACACTGTCACCTCCCCTCCTCAAAACAGAAAGTTTAGAACTATCACAAAGCGTTGTAAACACCTTTCCAGTTTTGTCAAATACTAAGACCAACAAGAAAGAAATAAGTTATAGAACTATAACACTCAAAGCATCACAAGCATCATGGCGGATCAGATCAGATCGGCGATATGTCATATTTTCACACACCCCAAATACACCCTAACAATGTTTTTAAATTATAAAACTATCACTATTACTTGCAAACACCTTTCAACTAAAGGTATATTTCCCTTCTAAAAATTAAACGAATCTGTGAAAGAAGTTTTTAGCAATAGAATTTAGTCTTTCTTCGCTGTGTACCGAGAATTTAAGCCAGCGAGCTCCGACATGCCGGGAGCGGTGGGGTAGCCCTAGTGGTTAAAGCGTTGGCTCGTCACGCCGAAGACCCGGGTTCAGAATCCCCACATGGGTACAATGTGTGAAGCCCATTTCTGGTGTCCCCGCCGTGATGTTTGCTGGAATATTGCTAAAAGCGGCGTAAAACCAAACTCACTCAGTCAGTACAACATGCCGACTTGAAACTTTACTACAAATCTACTGTACTAATACTGACACTAATAACAATTATTTGACTTAAAATGAAGTGACAGAATAGGTATCTTATCTTCTATGTGTAGGTTTTCAGTTGTCACAACACTCAGTAAATATAATCAGCTGTTGAAAATAAACCGGGCTCAATCTTAAAACTAAGCTGCCGCCATATTGGCTACACTGGTCACATGACGAGCCGAGGTATACGCTAAGGGGCTTTTCGAGGGTGACCACTCCCCGTTATATAGTCTCCTTTACTTATACCATGTAGCAAATTTGAACCTAGTGCTGGCTATGTGTAAATTTACATATGTGTGTAAAATTTGCATATAAGCAAAGCGTTCATACGACCAAACGTGCTCACATAAGTATATTTACATATGTGTAAAGTATAGTCATGTGAGGAAATGTGGTCGTATGAATGGGGTTCTAACATTATGTATCTGTTAAATACAAATTAAATGAAACCCAGAGCTATGCTTAATGTCAGGCAATGGGATGGCACAATGTGGACTTGCCAAATCATATATCTTGAGTTGGTTTTTTTATTTATCATTTAGTGTCTTGGAGACAGACTACGGACTTTCAGGCACGGTGCAAGCAAGGCCTGGGCTACTTCTGTCTGGGAACTCCGAGACTTTTAATTGAGACCTCACAAAGTTTGCATGTTGTGACTTTCATTTTCGGGATGGGATTAAGTCATCATATGATATCACTGGGATCATATGTGTCTTTCACGTAGGTTGGGGCAGTGTGAGTGTTGGCTGGATCTGAATTAGTCCAGCATATAACTAGACGACTTTGCACTATACCGCTGGAATACGAGTTTATTTATATGAACTAGATCTGAATAAGCGACGAGTGTGAGAGAGAGTGTGTGTATGTGTGTCTGATGAACATCACATATGCAATGCAAAGTTTAGCTGACAAAACGAAATAGTGAGTGACAATTGTAATAATTATATCTCCTAGAGTAACACATGGCATTTCGAGTTCAAGCCAGTTCAACATAGGAGATGGTGTTGGTTTCACAGGTGAAATATAGATGTGAACAAATTGAAATACATAATAAACATGAAACATCTGCGTATTTGACGAACACGTATGGAATATCAGACAACATCCAAGTGTTCACCAGAATGTAATTTAAGGTTTGAAGTTCGCCATCATATTTCGAAATCACCGTGAATGTATTAAGGTGTATACAACTGCACCACTGTATAACGCTATCCTAGGTATACCGAAACCAAGGGAACTGATCCAAATGGCTGGTGTCAGCAAAACTAATACGCATAGTATTTCCATATGAAGCTTATCTCTTGCACGCACGGATACTTTCTCCTGTACCAGTCTCGCGTTTATCGAGAACTTGTACGGAACCGGCCGAGAAAAGCTGAGTGGTAGCGAAACGCGCAGGAAAAGGAAATCGATTACAGGCATGTGTGTAGCTATCCTTAGTCATTTAAACTATTTTCCATAGCACACACTATTCTGGTGGCGTCACTTGGGTTTAGGATCGCTGTCATTGACTTTAGCGGCGTGGCGGAGGAATAGATATCAATAAGGGCAGCCTAAGTGAAATTGATCTTCGCTAAGAGGATTAATTTAAAGTTGATATTTTCATTAAATTTCGAGATTCCATATGTTCTCCACATAAATATATGTACGGATTATCAGAAAAATAAAAACACGATTACAAAAAGTCATTTGGCATTATATCAGAACATGTAAGCCTTCTCACACATGAGTACGTGAGTTGTTTAGTTTACAGTGTCATCAAAGTACAGACAGAGAAACGTGTTCAGTGTCAATATTCATGTTTTAAGTACGCTACATTTTCCCACCATTTCTACAACAGCTGCCAAGTGATGTTCTGTATCAGCATGATGTACGCCAGACGACACACAGTCCGAATTGTACAGAACACCCTCGCAACCAACAACGTTTACCAGCGTGCTGCCATGCCTAAAATCTCCACGTTCCCAATAAAACGCTAGTGGGATGGCACGAATCGTTGTGCTCGACCACACCCACCTGCTAACCTACCGCTACAGAAGAATTGCGACATATCCTGCGTGACTAAACTGAGGGACCACAGATCTGGACACCCACAACATTTATTATTTGTCTATAACACTCAGGGGACAGGCCACATTACACATCATGAACCATGACAATTCGATGCATGAATGTAATAAAGAAGAACCAAATAATCACTGGATATAAACAATTAAAGGTAAAAAAACCAGGTTCGTAGGGCTAAGATATTCTATGTATAGGATGTAAATAATTCATTACTGTTTACATGGTAAGTGAAATTAAGATTCTTGGTACAGAATAATTAACCGTATAAGCATTCAGCTGGACATTATAATATGTCATCGTGATGAATTCACTTGCTAGTGTGTAATGGATAGCAACACTAATTCCGAAAACAATTATCATTTCCTGACATTTACGATTCCTGACTTACTTATGTCCGTTCATAATGTATGGGTGGATGTGGGTGGTGTGGGGTTTGATAATTGTAAGGGGGTTACCCATTTTGTACTGGGAAGGTAGTGTGTGTGTGTGTGTGTGTGTGTGTGCGTGCGTGCGTGCGTGCGCGCGCGCGCATCAATTTTATACATAAATATATATTTAAAAATATGCGAAAACATTATGGGAAGTGGTGTGTGTGGAGAGGGTTGTCATTGTTTTTGTACGTGACAGACAGGGGGCGGGGGGGTCACTTACTTTGTACATAAATTTTAGGGGGGTCATTCACATTGTACATGCGTCTCCATAAAAATAAAAAATCATCATCACTCCCCTAGCCGTAAATTATGAACGGTCTCTTAGCTCAGTGGCACGGTGTACGCCGTACACATATGAAGACGACATAGACGGGCTCCCCTGTTGAGTGAGTGAGTGAGTTTGGTTTTACGCAGCTTTTAGCAATATTCCAGCAATATCACGGCGGGGGACACCAGAAATGGGCTTAACACATTGTACCCATGTGGGGAATCGAACTCAGGTCTTCGGCGTGACGAGGGAACGCCTTAACCACTAGGCTACCCCCAACCCCCCTGTTGAACTATACCATATACCAAGCCTGTATATGTGGAAGTCATGATAACGTACTACAACACGTGATGAACATTCATGTTGATGAGTTAACGTACTACAACACGTTACTCAGTGATAGCAATGCAACCATCAACTTAACCGTGCACGTATATATACACATTCATCTTGTTCATATTAACGTGTGATCACATTCATCTTGTTCATATTAACGTGTGATCACAGTCAGACTTTCGGAGCTAGCTCTTGTTTATATATTTGAACTACCGTGTGAAAAATGTAAGCACCCTTCATTTTCAGAAATCTTTTTCCTCGTTTGACATTGAGGGGCACCATGTTATTTAATCACCATGTAAAACATCAACAAGGACATCGAGTACTAGTATGTAATCCGTATTTCAGGGATTATCTTTATCAATGTCAGAGTGAGGCACAAAGTCATCGCTCTAACCCACTCAGCCCCCGCACCACCCTGACAGTCGGGGTTCAAATCCCGGATGGGACTCAACCAAAAACGTACCAGAATCTGTAATTTACTGAGAAAGTGTAATCCTAAATGTAACTTATGATATATAATATTTTAGCCTGTACGTGGTTAGACGTTCCCCTGTGTCCCCCTATAGAACATACATAACAATACTGTCTTCGCAAACCCTCGTTTGTTAAAGCGTTTGCCCCTCAAGCAACAGGCCGGGTTCGATGAATACAATGTGAAACCCTTCCCGGTGCCCCCTCCCCACTTTCACATCACCCGGGTAGTGAAAACCCCACTCATCCACTCCACGTAAATTCCCTCTACACCTGCCCTGTATTTCGCCGGATGATTTTCCTCGACAGGAAACATGACCCATTAGGTCTCACCTTTTGGAAACGATCTACTAACAACCTTCATGCGTACGTGAAATTCATTTACAGTAATGCATTATACAACAATATGGTTGAGAAACGTTCTGCGTGCAAAATAAAATGCTGCTGTTATTCGTATGCTTACTAAAATACTTCATAAATACGTCAAAGAGACCCATACTATGATATCAGATAGACTTGGTGATAACGGATAATGTATAACTTACTGATATTTATAGCGCGCATATCGGCGCAGTTTCAACAGAGTACCGTGTGCAATCCAAATATGGATAGTAATATGTCGTAGCCCAAGTACTATTTACGATCTATCTCGGTGAAGTATGTTTATGCCAACAGGATGTCGAGTATGCTATGGACGGTAGGAGGGGTTTGCCGGTACGAGATCTCGTGACACTCTCACTGCATTCGCGGACTTGACAACTCACCAAACATGAAGCGGTTAGGCTACTGGTTTAGTGAGAAGAAGACAAAGAAGCTGAATTTGCCCGAACACGAGCTAGATTTCAGGTAACCTCACATGAACATGGTAAACATTTCGATGTAGGTCAGTTGGACAACTTCCGCTAGTCACACAGACTCGTACAATATCAGTCAGCCCAGCTGAAACCAGTCACAGCCACTGATATTAACCCGCGCGCTCACTTTGATCAGTCATTTTATTATCTAAGTTACTGGTGATACGCTCCCTGGCGAATGCCCCAACCGTTTGGGTGCCCGAGCCAGGGCGTCAAGGATAGTGCGCGTCACGGACTTGGCGACCAGCACGTGAACACTAACATTTCACAATCGTAACAGTCCAGAAAAATGCAAATACATTTGTGCATGTACATGTATTAAGTTTGTATACATGGACGTAACATGGCTTGTGTGAACATTAAGAAACAGATTTGATAATCTTTAAGAAGTTCAATAGTATAGGTAATGTTTGATTCACTTATTCTATTATTCTACACTTTGGAATAGTACTAGCCTACTTTCATTCTTTGGCATTTCTTCGCAGATCTTAAAAATATGTGTGTTGCAAACTTCACGAGCTTCCTAAGAACTAATGCCAGCCTACTGTAATAAACTTAAACAATAGTGTTTGTGTTGTTTGGGGCAGTGTGGGTTGTGTTTGGCCAACCATTCATTAACTGTAACCAGCCATGGTAGATTGTAATTTTATAAGGTTTGATCTGATCTCATAAATATCATGACATTAGACCATGCAGTCACCACACTTGTTGTTGAAAATATTGTAGTGTTACCAGGACATTTAAAGTAAGCTGAATCTACCTTGTATTACCTCCAGTAGTCACCACAATGAAGGACCATGTGGAAGAGCAACAGTTTGAAATATTAGATGTAAACAGGTTACAAATAAACTCTGGATCAGTTACACTGATTCTGATGATATGAATTTTAATATTTACTAAACTAAGCCATCCTTTCTTGTGAGAGAAGGGCACAAACTAAGGGCTCTGCTCCAGTAATGAAGGTCTGAGATATTGGACTGGTCTAAATGTAAACTGAAGTTTAAGACATTTAGACTCGGGGCAGTTCTAGTAGAGTCATCCCACAGATGGCATCTTTACATTGCCAGTTCTAGTAGAGTCATCCCACAGATGGCATCTTTACATTGCCAGTTCTAGTAGAGTCATCCCACAGATGGCATCTTTACATTGCCAGTTCTAGTGGAGTCATCCCACAGATGGCATCTTTACATTGCCAGTTCTAGTAGAGTCATCCCACAGATGGCATCTTTACATTGCCAGTTCTAGTAGAGTCATCCCACAGCTGGCATCTTTACACAGAGGTTCACTGCTTTGGTTATCTGGGCAATGTGTCCGACCTCAGATCAGAAGGTCCTCAGTTTGAGTCCCATCACAGGAATTTGGCAGATGTGATGTGTTATTCAGAAACCAACTGATTCATTTTGTCATATGTGATATGTACCCAAATAGTTGTTCAACCTTTCGAAACTGGGAAATGTGGTACCTCATAGTTTTATCTCAACCAGCTCAGTGTCTATATTCAGCCTTAAGTTGGCATCAAATCTCAAGACAAAAGTCGGAAATTGTAATGACAATTATCAGTTAATGTTAAGATGTATAATGTGATGGTTTGGTCAAGGTGGCTTGTCTTTCATTTATCCCAATTTGCTTCCAAGGGAACTAAGTCTGGAGTCCTGGATGAATACCTGTTTTGTTACCTCATGTCATGCCACTGAATGCCACTGATTCCAACTGAAGGTGTGCCCTGTGTATGGAAGATAATAGTGTACACTTGTCCTGATAAACTGGGGAATAATAGCAGCGTAAACATATTGATAATGTGACTGGCTGAATGCATCTGTTGCAGTAATTAGACTGCTGTGACAGATGATGGGATGCTATTCAGGTGAGGGGAAATTGGGTCGTGCTTGAGAATATTTCGCTCATATGACGACGTGCATGTGTGTGTATGTGTATGTGTGGCTGCTTGTACTAGCCCAGACAGCTGGTTTTATAGTGCTAGCCCACTGAGATACCATGCCGCAGTGAAGCATGAATACCCCACTCAGACTGATTATACTGACTCCCGAGCCGACCAGTCCTTGTTGTACCCATTAATGCCGAGCGCCAGGCAGGGACCAACAAGTACCATATTTTAACGTCTTTTGGTATGACGCGGTCGGGGATCGAACCCGCGACCTTCCGCTCTCCGGGAAGACGCTCTAACCACTACACCACGGAGGCGGTCTCGATGCTATTAAGATATATGGTGGCTGCGAGGATGTGGGCATGGTGGTCCTGTTGAAATTTGTTAAATCTCTCTTGGACAGTAAATCAATTATATCATATGTTAGTTATGTCACAGGACAGTAGGTCAGTTATATGATAGATTGATATGTTCTTTATATAACAGAACAACAGATTAGTTTAATCACAGAGTAATATATATCAGTGGTATCACATGGTATATCAGTTAATGGTATATCACAGGACAGTGTATCAGTTATACCACAGGATAATGTATCTGTTATGTCACATGACAGTATATCAGTATTATGACAGGAGAGTATATAAGTTGTAGAATGGGTGGGTGGGGTTTAGCCTAGTGGTTAGAGTGTCCGCTCTTCACGCTGAAGACCCAGGTTCGATTCCTCACTTGGGTACAATGTGTGAAGCACATTTCTGGTGTACCCCTGCGATATTTTTGGAATATTTCTTAACGCAGAGTAAAAGTTACTAAAACCATAATCACTCACTCACTCACTCACTCTTATCACAGGAGAGTATATCATTTATCAACCTTCCCTATGTAAAAAAAATAGGTATAAATAAAAGAAATACATTTTACTATCTTTGTGAACAATGTGTTCGGTTGCAAACAAGTAAGGAGGAGATAACTCCAGCTGACAGAGAAGCAAGGCATAGTTTATGATTGTCCCGACTAACAGATGTTGCCAGCTGTTGTAGAGGATTTACATGATTGTACCCAAACCTTGATCAAATCACAGTTTATATGTATGTTTCTCATAACTTGTGCTGATGTTGAGCGCTGTCCCACCCATTATGTTGGTATGTTCCCACAACACTGTGCCATGTTACGGAGAAGAAACAAGTCATGAACAAAAGCTCCCGCAATTAATTATTCTTCTGTTTTTTTATGGCAATACTTAAAGAACGATTACAGTGTTTCCGTTCTCCGGTATATACCTTAAAATCGCCGGTAAAATTTGTTGGGGACCGGTAAATTGAAAGCCAGCAAGACACCGTGTCCGGTAAAGAATCATGTATTAAAATAAAAACATCATGGGTAAGCAAAATGACAGTCTTGGCTGGGCTTTCATGGTCACAAAAACTGTTATGCTTTGGAAATACCCAGGCTTAAAATAACTTTAAAATGAGTACTTACAGTATGGTAATAGGATATGACCGGCAAATTTCATTCATGACCGGTAAAATTTTAGGTCGCCAGGCACAGTGTCCGATAAATAATTAAGTCAGCGGAAACACTGGATTATTAAATGGTTGAACAGAAAACTATCCATATAATCCGTAGTAACAGTAATGGAATCAGATTTATTGTGTTGAACATGTTGCAAATGTTGGTTGAGAGAAATGGGTTGTATTTTCTTTTAGAAGTTATAACAACGTTCCTGATGAAGCAAGAAATGTACGAAGCATATTTCCTCTTTTAGAATTTGGAACCGTATTCAGTTTAGTACATGTTCAGACCAAACACATCTGGAGCTCTTATTGTATTGTATCTGTCGCAAGATGGGTGACTTAGTAAGTGCTGAACAAATGTCAATCTGTGCCAATACTTGGGGAGTCAAATAGATATTCTAACAGAGCCTTGCTCTTGGATTATTTTCAGTAGTTTAGTATGTGGACAGTATACAGCTCTGGATCAAACAGGATATGACTAGACTCTGGGACAAGTATGTAGACTGTATTGTAACTGTCGTCTGCCGTCATGTAGCAGAAATACTTCTTAGTTGAAGGTTATACAACAAATTAACAAAGAATTTTGTAATTCTAGTTAATTGTAATTAATACTACTACAATCATCTCAGAGTGAAATATGAAAAATGTCTCTGACAGAATTATCTTTTCTTTTTGTTTGTTTGGAGTGGATTAGTCTTGTGCTGTCCGCCTCACTCCCAGACCATGTTTTGTAAAGTCAGCCTAATTGTGTTAATTGAAAGAAGATTATATAAGTCCAGAAAGTCTGGCTGACTGGGACACAGCCACCTTTTCTCCTCCAGTTGCTGGAGTGTGAGATGTAGAGTAGCTCAGATAGCAGGACAACAGGAGGATTCCCTCGCTGCAGCATTGGAGGTTTTTACAGTTAAAGATAGGACAGGCTTTATACCAGGCTCTTATATGTCGGGGTAGCCAGGCAACAACCGTGTCACATGGACAAGTCAATAAGTAAAAATGCAAGGAAAAGAAACAATGATGTCGTCTGAATTTAATGGAACTTTTTATATATTTGCTAAACAATTCAAAAAATATTCTCAAAATATAAATGCATCAATCATACGTGGCATCTTTTGTTTTTTCAGCAATATATTTTTGACTGTTCAGGACAGTTTGTTAAAAAACAATTTGTATTTTGATGATTTCTGTGTCTGGCTTACTGTTAACATAATTTTCATGTACCGATAGATTACATCAGGTTGTGTTATGATATTGATTAGAAAAAGAGTGGATAGAAAGTTGTAAAATGTTGCGCAGTCACCAACAGATAGTGTTCACCTGAAACTAATCTCATTTCTACATCTGTGTACATCTCATTTTAAATTCTTTTATTGTAGACCGCATTTTTCATGTCAGGTATGTTCATTTAGAACGATAGTAGCTCCTTGTGTGGCCAAATTACCTGTGTGATTGAGTTGTTGTTGTTTTTTGACTAACAAGTTTATTCTTGTTTTCAGGGCAGCTGGCATTGAACTTGTGCAGGTAAGTCCTAAAGCCAGGTCAAGATGAGTCATATCGTCGGTCCTATCATCTGCATGACGTGAGAAGTACAAGATCAACATTAAGAACCAGGGCCTAGATTTTCGAAGCTCTCTTAGTCGTAGTAAGTGCAATACATTAACATTAACTTATGATTGCCTTAGCGCTAAGAGAGCTTCGAAAATCTAGGCCCTGGGGTGTGGAAATAACAAACTTGTTAACTTGATCCAGGATATGTTAACATTCAAATATCATTTGCCTGGAGACATATAGATTGAATGAGAAATGTCCTGATTATGTTTGAAAAATGGTGTTTTATCACAGCATGAGGCAATGTAATTGTCTGCTCACACCAACCGGAAATCTTGAATCCAGTGTTTTCAGAATTCCTGTTGCTGTATTTTATTGCCCCCAGTTTTTAGGCAGATGTTGAAGAATCATTTTTCCATATCTCTGAGGCTATTCACACCATGAATATTGAATTTTGTCCGTTGCGAAGCTGTGATCCAGTGAAAACAGTTTCCAGCAGCCAGTGCAGTCAGCCATGACACCTTACAATACATTGCACACTTGACGGGAAGTCCGACCAACCTGTCACAGAATGTGTCCTCAAGCATGATGGAGGTCAGAGCTAAGATATAAACTATACACTGCCGTCATTTATAGTGGTCACCTGGTGTCTACACCGTTTCAAAGCTACAATAATTAACACTTGGCACATAATGTTATCAAAGTGTACTCAGGGTCTGCCAAGGTCATTCTTAGGTCACTTGTTTAGTTGTTTGTGACTTTCTTCACTCCTATGAACAACAGTTAGTTGTCTATGATAAAGGAGTTTTGGTTTAGATCTGGACATGTAACAATATAAACATTTCTTGCTAAATTGAATATAAGTAAATCTAACATATCCTTCTTCAAGCTGTCTGAAACAATTCATATTATTCATGGTTTAATTTCCTCATAACAGGATGATTCATATCCAGCCTGGCCTTGACTTCTGGCCTGGGATGTGTGTTGACTCAAATAGCATAATGGGTCACCAAATAGTGTTGGCGTTAACATGAATCTCGAGATCATGGTTGGTGTGCATTTTCTCAGGTGCAGGTTACAATATAACTTATGGCTGTTCTATATACAACACCAGATTTGTTCAGCTGTAAATTCTGCTGGATGAATTAATTTACATGTAGGTGTGTACTTAGATTTGTTTACAAGGCAATCAAGCAGAGAGTCCTGTAATCAAGTTTCTGTTAGGCCTATAATCTGGTTTGAGGTGATCTGCGAAAGGTATTTCAGCCCCTGTTTAAGTTGGACTATATTCCTCGGTTCAGTGCCCATTCATTCAGTTGTCTGTGTGAAACAGAAATACAGTCTCTGTAATTGAGTTATTTAGAATTGTGAAAACTGAGTAAACAGACAAATAATGTGTGTTTGAAGCAAACACCAGTAGATCTTACATCTGGTAGGACGGGTTTGTTAGTTGGCCATGCAGAATCAGATTGAAAGAGACTTGTGTGAAAGCCACTCTGCCATTCTGTGTCCTACAAAATGGACTTTCAATAAAGCAGCATAAAGCCCAACACACTCACTCACTCTGAGACTAATGAAGTAACGTAGAGGATTCAGACAGTACATGAGTTGCTAATCTGAATTTGTCTGATATTCATATTCATAGACATATTAACACGTCAGTCGGGTGTATCATGCCAGGACTGTTGTCAGGTGTTCAACGGTAAGAAACCATTTATTTCATGCTGAAATCCCATTTCTTTAGAATATGAATACAAGCATTGTATGCAGTGTGTGTGCTTGTATCGACAGGGCACACACCGCACAAGCAGGCCACAGGTTCAAGTTGGTATGGTTATAAGTTTCAGTACGATATGAACATTCTGTTGGATGATATTCTCTTCTTGTCTGTGAGTCACTGGAAACAGTCTCTGGCCATGCAGTAGAATGGCTGTATGGATAGAACATGTTATTTGTTAGTAGGACTTGAATGGCAGCAGGTGATTGTTGGACTGAACGGCCTGTTAGTTATGAATGGTTGACGGTGGATCTGCACCAGGTACCACATGGTGGTTCCCTGAACCATGTGTGTCTGACCGCTGATCTGTACCTCTAGCTGGAGGGTTTATATTGACATCTTATCAAAGGAAAAGTAGTGATTGGGCCAATATTTTAGAATTTAGACCGCAACAAACTAAAACGTCTCCACTGTGCGTTTCCGCTCTGAATGTAACGGATAACAGCTGTCTCCTTGGATTCATCTTGACCTAACACCCTCGGTTGACGAAAGTGTAACCCATAGATAAGCCGACTCTCTTCTACAGACTGCTATTTTTGGTCCTCAAAATTCGGTCCACCCTCTGTACCAGGGTACATGTCCACCCTATATACACCAGGAACATGTCCACCCTCTACACCAGGGTTCATGTCCACCCTCTGTACCAGGGTACATGTCCACCCTCTATACCAGGGTATAGAGATTAATTGAAATAATCGAAGATTGGTCGCAGTGACTAAACGACCAAGCAATCGATCAGAATTTCTCATAATCGAACACAAACAATTCTGGAACACTTTTTCATAAACAATATTTTTCACAAGGTTGGTTTTGTCTGTTACATTTCATAAGCACTACAAGTCATGATTAAATTTATCTTAAAGACTCCAAGAAATTTATGTTCCTGACATACTAGTCGTCCTTTAAAGATGTGAAATTTTGCCCCAAAAACAAAAGAACTACATGTTTTTTCCATATTTTTATGTGCATTAACAAATTTCATTAATGACGCTAACCAATTTTTTTCGATGATTGATCGGTTGTAATAAACCAATCATCAATTATGAGATTTTAACCAATTCCCAACACTACACCACTATACCAGGGTACATGTCCACCCTCTATACCAGGGTACATGTCCACCCTCTATACCAGGGTACATGTCCACCCTCTATACCAGGGTACATGTCCACCCTCTATACCAGGTTACATGTCCACCCTCTATACCAGGGTACATGTCCACCCTCTGTACCAGGGTACATGTCCACCCTCTATACCAGGGTACATGTCCACCCTCTATACCAGGGTACATGTCCACCCTCTATACCAGGGTACATGTCCACCCTCTGTACCAGGGTACATGTCCACCCTCTATACCAGGGTACGTCAGCCCTCTATACCAGGTTACATGTCCACCCTCTGTACCAGGTTACATGTCCCTCTATGCATGTCCACCCTCTATACCAGGGTACATGTCCACCCTCTATACCAGGGTACATGTCCACCCTCTATACCAGGGTACATGTCCACCCTCTATACCAGGGTACATGTCCACCCTCTATACCAGGGTACATGTCCACCTCTTTACCAGGGTACATGTCCACCTCTGTAGCAGGGTACATGTACACCTCTTTACCAGGGTACATTTCCACCTCTGTAGCAGGGTACATGTCCACTCTCTATACCAGGGTACAAGTCCACCCTCTGTACTTGGGTACATTTCCACCTCTATAACAGGGTTCATGGCCACCCTCTGTACCAAGGTACATATCTACCTCTATAGCAGGGTACACGTCCACCTCCATACCAGGGTACATGTCCACCCTATATACCAGGGAATGTGTCCACCCTCAACACCCAGTACATATTAGATACCTGAATAGAGCGACCGGTTGTTAATGTCGTTACTTGAGCTATATATCACAGTCGCCTCAGACATTAATCATGTTTGCCCTCCCTGTGCCCAGCCCAGCGTTCACCTCCTCAGCCTTGACGTCAACCTTTGCACAGGTCACCTGCTGTACACCCCCATATAATAGGATTAAGTGTATGTTGTCAATACATTTCTTGTAACACTTGTGGTAGAGCTGAACAGTATTATCTGCCATGTGATTATAGACTGTTATTCCCTGATAATAGATACTGCTGGAATGTCAAGGTCATGCCCTGAAGAATATTAGAAGCTGTATTGAGGACAACTTCTTTGTTTCACAACAATATTTGGGCTACATCTTTCATCTTTGACTTTATTCAGCCGATAAAGGAGAGAAATTGAGAGTTGATGAAGGACTTAAAAACTTCCTGTCCCTGTTTTATTAACTAAATGTCAAGCAGGGAATTGTTGATTACAATAAATGGTAATTACATCCGATTTATTACTGCAATTAAGAGGTTTGTTATGAAGGTTAAACAATATCCTTTTCACAGACAAAGCTTTCATGTGTAGATTGATCTTCAGCATCCATTGCTTGTTGTCAGGGGTGACTAGCTGGATCGGGTGGTCAGACTCGATGACTTGGTTGATGCATGTTATTTTATACCACTTGCATAGATGGATGCTCATGATGTCAATCACAGGTTTGTTTGGTCCAGACTCAATGATTTAGAGACTACTGTCATAAAGCTAAAATATTGCTCTGGGGCAGCGTAAACAAAAATCAAACAAAAAATGATGATATAAAATTGTTTTGCTGTAAGGTTAAAGGTGCTTCCTGTGTCCGGTGATGTTGTCCGCTGTCTGGTTACATAATAATGGGCTGATATGACGCTGTCCAAGTTACCTCCTCTGACGATTCCTTGAATAATGGTCAAGTCATTTCTGTCAATCAAGATGCTTCATCCTCGTCAAAGTTGTCTTTCGTGCCCTATGGATTATGGCTGTCTTTGCTGCCCTATGGATTATGGCTGTCTCTGGTGCCCAAGGGATTATGGCTGTATTTGGTGCCCTATGGATTATGACTGTCTTTGGTGCCCTATGGATTATGGCTGTCTCTGGTGCCCTATGGATTATGGCTGTCTATGGTGCCCTAGGGATTATGGCTGTCTATGGTGCCCTATGGATTATGGCTGTCTATGGTGCCCTAGGGATTATGGCTGTCTATGGTGCCCTAGGGATTATGGCTGTCTATAGTGCCCTAGGGATTATGGCTGTCTATGGTGCCCTAGGCATTATGGCTGTCTTTGGTGCCCTAAGGATTATGACTGTCTTTGGTGCCCT